TTTTGAGACAGGGTCTTACTAAGTTGCCCAAGCTGGGCTCAGACTTTTTGATCCTCCTGTCTCAGCCTCCCAGAGTGCTGGGATTACAAACCAGTGCTACCAGGATTACTGCTATATTTGCCTCACATAAACCCATTTATTTATCTAGGTTTATTTATTACACCTGTAATCTCAGCACTTGGGAGGCTGAGGCAGGAGGATTGTGGTGAAGTTGAGGCCAGCCTGGGCTACACAGTGAGTTCAAAGCCTGAACTGCATAGTGAGACCCTGTCTCAAAAACAAAACAAAACATCTGGGTGTAGTGGCATACAACTGTAATCCCAGCTTCTCAGAAGGCAGGAGGATCACAAGTTCAAGGCCAGTATGGGCAATTTAGCCAGACTGTATTTTAAAATGGAAAAAGAGTACTCTGACCCTTTCATGCTTGAACCATCCAACCTACTTCCCCACCAGGAGGACGTGGGGGCCAGGGTGGCTTCACTGGTTGCTGGGGCCAACAGTCTCCCTGCTCGGCTCTGGCAGGTGGCAGGTGCCCATCCCCTCCGCCTGGATCTGAAGGGCCAGGTCTTGGCTGGCACTGCCTCCTTTTGTCCAAGGGATGGCCAACCACTTTCCATCCTCCTCCTCCTTCTCCAAAAAATCCTCATTAACCTCGCGCCCACTGCAAGGAAAACGCATGATCAACACGAGAAGCCCAGCTGTTGATTAATTTTCCCAAACAGGGCCGAACTACAAAGCAGCATACTGCGGGGAAAAGACTGAATAAACAACACTGGAAACAAATATAATGGGACAGACCTCATTACCCACAGGGGTCTGCCTCTGCGCGGCCGTGCCGGGCAGGGGGCGGGGCTGAGATTCCGGCTCTTCAACAGGACCAGTTTGCAAGGTTCCCTTCTGCCAGTAGCTCTTCCAGACCAAGTTCAGGATGTTAATGGCCAGTGCTGCATCTATAATTAGCAGGCCTTTGAGTGGGAGGAAGAGTTCACATCCCATTCCATTCACGGAAGGAAGATACTGAGCAGGATTGGCAGGCATCCCCCAGTGGGGGTGGCGTGGGTAGTGGTGTCTCCGTATTGCGGGGTCCTATGGGGTGCACAGGGAAGAGAGGCTAGGAGGGATGAGGATACAGAAATACCCAGGTTGGGCATGGTGGTACATGGGAGGCTGAGGCAGGAGGACTGAGAGTTCAAGGCCAACCTGGACTACATAGGGAGTTTGAAGCCAGCCTAGCTATCTCACAAAATGCTATCTCAAACAAACAAAGCAGCCACCCAAGTATCAACTTTCAGGTGCAGAGAAAGGACCAGGGCATCTGGGCCTGGCTGGGTGGCCCCTTTGAGATACAGGCCTCAGTGTGTGGATGTCCTACTGCACTTAGGTGGTGAGCGCAGCCCTGATATCAAGTCTGGGCTATTAGCATCGTGCATTTGAAGTGGGAGCCAGCAGCTGATCCAAGTCACAGATCCCTCTCTGCCTGTATTGGGTGTGTGATCCTGGACAAGTCATTTGCCTCTCTCTGCCTCACCTGTTCAGTAAAGGGGCTATGGGATTCCCGCGCCTCAGTGGACGTGGTGGCCAGCTTGTGCGAGGCCCAAGAGGACACCCCCTCCCAGACCACATCCTCACCATCTTCTCTCTGGGTTAAGGACCCCACTCCAGGCCGGAAGCTGCTCAGAGTCAGCGCGAAAGAGCCCTTCCGATGCACGCAGCTGCTGATCCCCAGCCAGACACCTGCTGCGTCTACAGCTCACTGCCAAGAGCAGTTTCAAACATTCCCCAGACCTCCAGGAAATCCTTTATTACCTGTGCCGAGGCTAACTAAAATACCCAGGGCTTTCTTTTGCTTTTAATTAGAATTAAATTAGCTCTGTGTGCCAGCCCAGGTGAGCGTGAACCGCTCAGAAGCTCTGATTGGTCACAGGTGACATCACAGGAATTTCTGGGTCATGGTTGGTGGACACAATGCTGCCACCACAGTCGCAAGGCTTGTGGTCACCGGCCAGACTGTATCTGTCCGATATGTGACGGGCCTTGGGCACCAGTGCAGCGTAACGACAGTGTTTTTCAAATTAAGAAGCTTTGAAGGTGGAGGGCATTAAAAAGGGCCCTGGGCAGGAAGAAGTTAGGGAGGCTGATGGGTTTCAGTGGCAGCAGCTGACTGATAAAGGAGGGGAAGCTTGGACATGACCTAGCGCTCATGCATGTGTGCCAGAAGACAGGACCGCCTTCCAGCAGGACGTTTTGTGGGGCTCCTGTGTGGCTGTCTTGGAGCATGGGGCACAGGTAGACACCAGGCCTGGCTGGGCAGTGGGTGCGGGGCTGGGCATGCAGGCCACCGGGGTGGCAAGAGCCGAGCCACAGTTTCATCTCTGGTCTGAGTTCACAATCCTGCGGGCATCCAGTCCTTTCCCCTGATGGTGCAGCGGTCAGCTGCTGTGAATGCAGGGCTGGTCTGGGCCAGGTACTGGGCTGGAGCTCGGGGGATAAGACACAGCCCTGCAGCCTCCCCTGGGAGCCCACTTGGGGTGACCGGCAAGATCCTGTTCAGCTCAGAGGGTCTGGGCGCCCTGTGTGGCTGAGGCCAAGAGGATGCTTTTCTGGCTGGGCAGAGTGGGGCAGGGGGTGCCAGGTGGGACAAGGAACCGTGGACAGGATCTGGCCTGAATTTCCCTCTTCCCAAGAGCTCCAGGAAAGCTCAGAGCTAATGGCAGGATGGGCTCAGGCCAGGCAGGATCCTGCTTCCTAAGTGCAGTGAGCCACAAGACCCAGTCTAGCAGGGTCCTTGTGTCCTTGCTAGCATCACTCACAGAATCCCCACTCAGCACCAGCTTCTGAGCTGCAATGCTGGTGTAACCCAGAGAGCTGAGGTCCTAGATCTCACGAAGCTGCCAGTCTCGCTGAAGAGACAGACAGTGAATAAGTGGACAGTAAACCCATCCAGCTGCCCAAGGGCAGAAACGGGCCCCTCTGTGCGCCTGGAACCTCTGGCAGGCCTGGCTCCTTGTGGTCCCACTCAGCAAACATCTGTTGAATGGGCTGGCGTGAGATGGAAGCATATGGTAGGTTCCCGGTCTGTCTGGTTTGGGCCCTGGAAGCTGACATGAGCACACAAACAGCTTGTTTCAATTAGGCAGCGCTTATCGAGGGCCCATTAAGTACCAGCATGGTCCCGAGGCTGGAGAGTGTAGATGTGAGTGAAATCAGACCCACTGCCCCAAGTGCATGCCATGGGTGGGCACAGGCAGCCCCTTTAGCTGGCCCAGCCCTCAGTGTGTTAGGATGGTGGCTTCTGTTTGTGCATCCAAGTCCCAATAGGACAGCACCGGGGACAGTGTCAGGGACGACACGGAAGGGGAAGGATGGAGTCACAGGTGTGCACCCAAATCTGCACACACGGATTAAACAGATGCAGCAGAAGCTGAGCGTTGTGGTACAGGTCTGGAATCCCAGCACTCTGGGAAGCTGAGGCAGGAGGAGGATAACAAGTTTGAGCCCAGCCTAGGCAACCTGGTGACTAGCAAGACCCTGTCTCAAAATAAAAAATTAAAAAAGGGCTAGGGATGTAGCTCAGCATGCAGGCCCTGGGGTTCAATCCCTAGCACCGCAAAAACAAATAAAACCCAAATACAACAGAGACAAACAGCATAGAGAAACACAGGTGTGTGGACTTACTGCCTAAGCCTGTGTAGACGAATGTAGACCCATGCAGGTTCAGATATCCGCACAACTCATCTTGGACAAGGCTCGTTGGGGTCCCCCAAATCAAGGTGGAAGCGCCAAACCTTAGGTCCCCGGATGCCCTGAGAGAGGCCTGTTATTGGCTAGCCATGATGTCAGTCAACAGAGCCTGGCCAATCAACTCTGGGCCTGCAGGGGGGCACCGCCCCCTCCCTGAGGTGCATTGCTGATAAATGATCTCTCTCCAGAACCTCCTGCTGCTTAAACCTTGGAAGGTTTTGCATGCTATTCTCATAAGTAATGTATCTTTGCACAAATAGTAAGTTTTTATGGTGCTTTGAATCCTCCAGGCATCAATCTACCTGCTTCACAAGTAACTAACTTAATGCTTGTAACATTCCCATGGGGTGGGGACAGCATTGTTCCCATTTTACAGATGCAGGGACTGAGGCTTAGCACGGTGTAGTGGATGCCCGACTTGACAGGGTGAATGCGGAGGGAGCAGGTCGAGCACTCGACCCTGCCTGGATAATCCCAGCGACTCTCCCATCTCACAGTCACATCTACAAAGTCCCTCTCGCAGCCAGGCGTGGTGATGCACGCCTGTAATCCCAACACTCGGGAGACTGAGGCAGGAGGATCGTTGGGAGTTAGAGACCAGCCTGGGCTACAAAGTCAGCTCAAGGCCAGCCTGAACTTCATAGCAAGACCCTGTCTCAAAAAGACCAAGAGACAAAGTCCCTCTCGCTACATAAGGTGACATATATGCAGGTACCAGGGATTAGGACACAGACGGTTTAGGTAGGGGGATGGCCCTGCCTACCGCAGCCACCTAGCACTGGGCAACCTCTGACCCCAGTCCGCCCCTCTCTCCCCAGGGAGAGTTCTGTGCCGTCCCCTGCGCCGCGGGGACCTATGGACCCAACTGCTCCTCTGTCTGCAGCTGTCACAACGGTGGCATCTGCTCCCCGGTAGACGGCTCCTGCGCCTGCAAGGAAGGTAACGTGCCCTGTGCAAGACCAGCCCGGGCCCAGGCAGCTAAGGGGTCTCAGCTGGGGCTGCCCCTGCCCACGTGAAGGGGCGGAACCATTTAATGAGGCAGGCTGCAACCCGGAAGCCAGCCGGAGCCTCAGTGGCAGGGATGTGGCATGGGATTCCTCAGCAGAGGCTCTGAGCTGCTGGTGGGATGGAGCGGCAGCCGTGCTGGACCTGGAGAGGGAGGTGACAGCCCCTTCCGCCCTCAGGATGGCAGGGTCTGGACTGTGCCCTGCCGTGTCCCAGCGGGACGTGGGGCCTGAACTGCAATGAGACCTGCGCCTGCGCCAACGGGGCGGCCTGCAGCCCTGCGGACGGCGCCTGCACCTGCACCCCTGGCTGGCTGGGAGACACCTGTGAGCTGCCCTGCCCGGTGAGTGCCCCCTACCTGGGGTTAAGTCGCGCTCGGGAATGCACCAAGAGGAGCACCCCAACAAGTGGGGAACGGCTGGAGCTGAGTCACAGCTAGTCCTCACCCCCGCGGTCATTTTCCTCCGCTCGGTCTCCTGGAGCACAGCAAACCCTGGGCAGATGTAGCGCCCAGCGTTGCCTTCCCCGCCCCCACCTTGCTAAGCCATCCCTGACCCCGGTGCTCCGGCACTGAGCCCCAGCTTGGCCTCAGGAGCCTCCCCTCCCGAGCTCCACCACGGCTGCTCTGAGCCGGCACAGGTGCCGCTCCTGGCCCCGTGTCTTTCCGGTTCCTGCAATCGGTGTTTCCACGATCAGCGGAGCAGGGACTAAGGAGCACCTTCTAGCAGTAACCACCCAAACTTAATCACTGGGTCTTGGTCTTGAAACCAACCCACGAGAAACTGAATGTGGCCATGGGCTTGAGGTCCTGGGTTCAAATCCTGCCTTTGCTACATCCTGTTACCTTGAGCGGGTTACTCTGCCTCTCCAGCTGCTTCCTATCTTTAAAGGGGGAATACCAGGAACCATGTCAGAGACTGCTGCAAGGGTTAAGAGAGATGAGGATACAAGGCTATTGGACCTTCATGAGCACATAGCAAATAAGGGTCACCATTTTCTTCCCCCTTAACAGACAGTCAACCACTCCTTCCTCACGTGAGGTAGAGGCGCCCCGATCAATGAAGTGTATTTTCATTTACAACTTAAGCTGATGATCCTCACGGCCCTCAGAGCCTAAGCATTGAAGGGTGGGGCAGGACCATTCCCTCCCTTGCTCCAAACCTCACACTCCTGTTAATGCAGCCGGGTGTGCTCAGCTGTGTCATGGAGTGCACGAAGGCCTGAGAGATTCTGACCCCCTCCTCCTCCTCCCTCCACCTCCGCAGGACGGCACATTTGGGCTGAACTGCAGCGAACGCTGTGACTGCAGCCACGCTGACGGCTGCGACCCCATCACAGGCCACTGCTGCTGCCTGGCCGGATGGACAGGTAACCCCTCGGCCGGGCTCCGTGCGCCCCGCTCTTGCCGCCCTCCTTTGATGTTTCTTCTTGTTCCCTAAATCTGCTCTCAGCTCCAGTTCTGCGTTCCATTCGATGAAGCAACTGTCTCTGAAACACCGATGGTGCCCTGGGGAGGGGCACCCCAGCCAAAGCGGAGGGGCTGGCAGGCGGTGGGTGTGGGTGCTGGAGCTATTTGGTAGAGGCCCCAGCAGGGAAGAGGGTGAAGCACTTTGTCCTCCGCCCTGGCCCAGGGTCGTGGGGCCTGTGTCCATCCCCCAGCCTGCCTCCTGACTGCCAGGGAGCCACCCCCTTCCGTCCCTCTCGGGCCACCCCCTGGTCCAGCCCGCAGTCCCCGTCTCTCCTCTGGCACCGCCTCGCTGGTCTCAGCCTCCCCCTCCCCCACCCCATCAGTTCTGTGCCTGATAGCGGGAGCGAACTTATCAGAACCTCGAGTCCCTTGGTGGTTTCCTGTGACTCACAGAACATCCATGGCTCAGGTCCCCTGCGATCTGGCCCTGCTGCCTCCGCCACTCACTGACTCCAGGCACCAGGGCCAGCATTTCCCCTTGCAACCTCGCCCTGACTCCAGGCCTTGGCATATGCCTGCCTCGGCCTGAACCATTCTTTGCCCTCCCACCCAATAACCCCTCCTCATACCATGTGGTCAAGGCTGCAAAGCCTGTTTGTTAATTCCCCTGCTACTCTACGCGTGTCCTTCTGTAGAACTTACCATACCTGGCCTTGACCTCTGATTTAAGTGTTTATTATCCGCCTCCCTAACCTGACCGCGTGCCCTGGGAGGCATCTGCCTTATCCACCATTGTGTCCACCGCCTGCCACCCTTGTGATATGGCTGACGAGCTGGTTACGCATAGAACACGACCAGACAGCCTGGATCTGTGAACTTGGGCAAGTCCTCTAGCCTGTCAGAGCCTCATTTCTCCGTCCATAGAATGCAGGCGATTATCAACTGCAGGCTGGTTTTGGAGCTGAGATGAGTTACTTCCCTCAAGTGCTAAGGGTGCCTGGCTTACACCAAATGCTCAGTCCTGGAAGCCACGAATGCAAGAAGTGCTCGGTGATAGTCTATCGGGAGTGAATGCACCCACCAGCCTGGCCCAAGGTGGCTGCTGAGCAGAGAGAGTAGTCGTGACTGGCAGTGTAGTTCTCAGATAAATAATTAACACTGGTTGCCGCATGGCTTCCGTTCTATACAACTGGAAAGTTTCCAAGCCGCCAAGGCCCCGGGGGGACATTCCTCTGAGGCCAGGGACTTTTCTCTGTGACTAGGGACATTCCTCCATGGCATCTCCTGCCCGGCTTCCCTGCCGGCTACTGTCCCCCAGGTACAGAATGAGGCTGCATCCAGGTCGCTGCCACCCCACACTCTCAGCAAGAGCCAAGTGGAAAACCGCTTGAAGTTCTCATTGCCTTAATTTCAAGCGAGCGGATCAGATTTTAATGACATCCGCTGCTTAAAAATTCTGCCTTTGATGGACAACCTTTCAGCACGGCCTCTGCTGTTCTAAAGCGGATTTCCCCAAGTGGTCCCGAAGGCTTTTGAAAGAGGCAATTGAGGTCTCAGAGGTTTGTGGAGCAGGAGGAGGCGGCCTGGGCCTCCCACCGCGAGCCCCTCCCACTCACCGCCCACCTCTCGGCTTAGATCTAGTGTCCCCGCAAAGCCCCTTGTGTTCAGAGGTGGGGGCCTTTGGAAGATGATGGACCATGAGGTGCTCTACTCGTCCCTGGAGTCTCCCACTGATGAATTTATAGCTGAAGGTGCTGTCAGGGGGCGGGGCCTGGTGGAGAAGGCGTTCCCTGGGCGGGGCCTGGGAGGGTGTGTCTCGCTCCCGGCTCCTCCCTTCTGCCGCGGCCACCACCTGGAGGGGAGCGCCTTTTGTCTGCCACGCCCCTCCACCTTGAGCCAACCAACCACAGACAAACTACGAGCTAAAATAATCCTTTCCTTTAAATTGTGGATAGGGGCTGGGAGTTTAGCTCAGCGGCAAAAGCGTCTGCCTGGCACACGCAAGGTCGTGAGTTCGGTTCCCGGTACCGGAGAAAAAACCAAAAAAAAAAAAAAAAAAAAAAAAATTGTGGATGTTGGCCATTGTATCTCAGCAACCAGGGTAGTGACTAAGTCCGCCCGCCAAGAAGTATCAGTGCTGACTTCCCGCCCTGGCTCTATAATTCATGCCTTGGCTCGCCGCAGCCATGTGCCAGTCCCTGCCTTCCTCCCATGGCCGCCGCGGGTACCGATGAGCATTACATCGCCCTCAGCTGCCGTAAGCCTACATGACGCTCACTCAGTGCTTATTGAAAGATCTAGTCTCTGAGGGTGGTGGATGATCTTTCCCTGGAAGTGCAGATTTAATTAAATCTGCCCCAACTGTCTATGCTCCAGATGAGAAAGGGGAGCTGTCCAAGGCCTCAGGACCTAAGTGCCATCAGGATGGGAGCTGTGTAGGATTGCATTTTCTTTTTCTGTCTGTTTGAGACAGGGTCTCGCTATGGAGTTTAGGCTGGCCTTGAGCTCACTTTGTAGCCCAGGTTGGTCTCAAACTCGCAATGATCCTCCTGCCTCAGCCTCCTGAGTGCTGGGATTACAGGCGTTCATCACCAGCCTAGCTAGGATTGCATTTTATGGGGAATCCATTTATTCGCTCAACTAGCATTTCTTAACTTGGGCAATCACCAAGTCTTTATTTGGCAGCCACATTGTGCCCAGCACTGGGCCAGGCTCAGCAGTAAACAGCAAGGCTGAGCACCATCCACAGTAGTGAGCTGAGCACCTACTATGCGCCATGCAAAGATGACCACGGTGGCGTCTGCCCATGGGGAGAACCTGCCTAGTTAAGCAGGCTCAGTGTGTCAGTAAGCTGTGGTCCCTGCCCTCAGATTGCTGGCAGGGAGAAAGGCTTCATGTGTAGGAAACATTGAAATCACAGGTAGGGACACAGCCGTATGCTATGGCTATGACACTGATGTTTGAATACCTGGGCAGATACCTAGGAAGGCTGCATGACGGAGGTGTCTAAAGTAGGATGATCCAGGTGTGGTGGTGCACGCCTATAATCCCAGCACTGGGGAGGCTGAGGCAGGAGGATGGTTGTAAGTTCGAGGTTCAAGACCCTCCTGGGCTACAAAGTGAGCTCAAGGCCAGCTTGAACTGCATAGTGAGACCCTGTCTCAAAAAGTCTAAATAAATAAATAATAAAGTAGGAGGTAGGCTTCTGGCCTCACACCATGCACTAGAGATCACAGTGTGTAGATCTGTAGCTTTATCCACCAATACAGATTGTGTCTGTGTGTGGGGAGGGGGTTTTTCTGAAAACTAGAGAAAAGGGATTCCACAGGGTAAGAAATGAAGGGTTCTTTGTTTTGTTTTGTTTTGTTTTTGTCTTTTTGAGACAAGGTCTTGCTGTGCAGTTCAGACTGGCCTTGAGCTCACTTTGTAGCCCAGGCTGGTCTTGAACTCACAACGATCCTCCTGCCTCAGCCTCCCGAGTTCTGGGATTACAGGTGTGAGCCACCACGCCCAGCTAGGGGAGAGTTCTTGAAGGGGGTTTATTATCTCTATTAAACTGTGGGGAAAACAGGGCCCAAGGAGGTAGTGATGACGCTGCTGCTTCAGGAACTGGAGGCTCCGGGAAGGCCAAGGGCAGCCCCTTCTGGTCACCCCAGAAGTCCCCTCTAGACCTGGGCACTCCTGGTGGCTGGAGTACTTGACTGTTCCTCCCACTTAGATGCCAGTGACTTAAGCTGCAGGGAGCTCCTAGGACAGAGCAGGACCCCAGAGCCAGGCCCAGAGTATCAGAATTGCCTGATCTTAGACCCAGCGGGACCCCGCAGCCGCTTGCAGTCTGCGCAGGGACAGGGTGCTCCTGTGGTTCTCAGTCTCTACGAAAAAGGACCCCGTGAGCACCTCGAGGTGCCTGCTCTTAAGAACAGCTCTGCTCTTGCTGGGGTGGACACAGCAGCCAGAGAGGCCGTGAATTCCGCGGTGCATTTGTATACATTGTTTAGCACGTCCCAGTCACAGTGAGGCTCCTTTAGGAAGGAGCGTCTGTCTGTGTGTGACCTGTCTGCCTTGGTCAGGCTGCAGAGACCACTCAGCGCCCAGGAGCTCGGAGCCCGAGGGACAGCCATATCGAGTCCCTCTACCTGTAGTCTCAATCCGGGGTTTTCAATAACCACTGCAAAGGAATTCCTTAGGGCGACCATGGCTGTTGGTGTGCGTTCTTGGGGTCTGGACCCAAGGATTCCATCAATGGTAGATTGAAAATGCTGTTTTAAGAAATGCATTTCCATGGTGGCACATGCCTGGAATTCCAGCACTTGGTAGGCTGAGGCAGGAGGATTGCCATGAGTTCGAGGCCAGCCTTGGGTAGATAGTGAGACCCTGTCATACACACACAAATTTGTTTTTTCACCTGTACTGAGACGATGTGCAGACTTGTCTTATCAGGTCCTAAACAGTACAGCAGAGCAACTATTTACATAGCATTTACACTGAGTTAGGAATTATAATTGGAGATAATGTAAACCATACTGGAGGGTGCAGATAGGTTCTAGGTAGGGACGATGGCATTTGGGTGTCCCTTGTAGACACCGAGGGCTGACTTGCTAGAAAGGGAGAGTCTTCAAATGCATCCCAAACTCCGAACAGCTCTGTGACTTCCCCTTCCCTAGGCTCCTGTAACCCATGGTCCCTTCAGGCGCCCTAACTTCATGGGAGAGACCCACGTCAAGGGGTAAAACATGGTGAGCAGGGCCACCAGATGCTCCCTGGGGTGCGAGCTTACTCCCTGGGAGAAGCCCCCACTTTTGTTTCCCAGAGGGGCCCCTGAAGCTACCCCCTGCTGGGAAACAGACATTTCAGAGTGAGGACCCCAGGGGAGACTGATGCAGACCAGGCAGAAGGCAAGGAGAGCCAGGCACTCCCCTCCCCATCTGAGGCCGGGGCTGTGCGCTCCCAAATTGGTCCCACTGCTAGGCTGGGGCCCAGTTCACTGCCTCTGAATGTCTTTCCCCGCCTTCTCCCAGTCCTTGTCCTTATACCAAGGCAGATGCAATTTTTAAATTAATTCCGCTCCTCTCTGAGCCTCTCTGATCACCTTCTTCCAAAGCCCAGCGGATCCCCTGGGCCCGGGGTTCCATTCACCTATTGCACATCAGCCTGCAAGGGACCCCAGCTGTGCAGAGGGTCTGTACCCAGGGCCTGTTAAAATTCCTCCTCAGCTGCAGGCTGAGTCGTTCCGGCACATATTTCCTCCACTTGAGCTCAAAGAGCTGGAGCTATCCATCGTGCTCCTGTCTCTGAGGAGCTTGCCCACAGGGGCCTTAAATCAGTTGGTTGGATTACAAGTAGCATTTTTAAAAAAATAGTTGGTTTCTGTTACACATGTGTGTATGTGATTGCATAGGATGTAAAATACTTATCGCCCTGAGGACTGTGGTCAAAAGATCCCACTCACTCTCTGAGTCCCTGCAGCCCCCAGGACATTCATTTTTGTTTGTTTGTTTGTTTGTTTTTAAGACAGTTATGTAGCCCAGGATGGCCTTGAACTCATGGCAATTCTTCTGCTTTAGCCTCTCAAGGGCTAGGATTATAAGTGTGTGCCACCATGCCCAATTTAAGGCCACTGCCTTGCCCTAGAAGATTTCTGTCAGGCCTGCTCTTGATGGCAGCTGAGATGGCAACACAGAAGGGCCCTTCATCGCCTGGCTCCATCTCAGTTCCAGTCTGTTTCCTTGCTTGGCCGCATGCAGCTCTTGCTGCGTCATTTCTGTGAGATGCGATGCTTTCTCCTGCCCGTCCTTTGCGCGCCTGGCTCCCCTTGCCCACCCAGGGCCTTGCTGTCTTCTGTCTGGGCATTACTTCTTCCCAGAAGCCCTCCCTCCCCAGGTTCCTGGGTCCCCTCTTGGTGCTGTGTCGGACCCTTCCCACCATCCTCTCCTCTGGCCCCTCCTCTGGCCCACAGGCGTCCGCTGCGACAGCTCCTGTCCGCCCGGCCGCTGGGGCCCCAACTGCTCCGTGTCCTGCAGCTGTGAGAACGGCGGCTCCTGCTCTCCTGAGGATGGGACCTGCGAGTGCGCCCCCGGCTTCCGAGGACCCTTGTGCCAGAGAAGTAAGGCTGTGCGAGCCCCCTTCCGAAGACCAGCTTGTCCTCCCAGCCCTGCCAGGCTGGAGCCGGTCCTGACCCCAGCACGGCTTGGCTTGTCCCTCCTGTTAGTCCCCTCTGCCCATGAGCTGGCTGTTCTGTCCCAAGTTGATGTCCCAGCCAGACTTGCTTCTTGGTAGAAACAGGACGGGGTCGTAGTTCCTCTCTTCCAGAAGCGGTGGGCCTCCCCAGGGTGAGAAAGAGCGCGGGACAGCAGGGGTGGCCAGGCTGGCTGGGGCCCTGGGGCTGCTGACCACCGTCTCCCCTCCATCCTCAGTCTGTCCTCCTGGCTTCTACGGACTCAGCTGCGCCCAGCCTTGTCCCCTCTGTGTGCACAGCAGCGGGCCCTGTCACCACATCAGCGGCCTCTGCGAGTGCCTCCCGGGGTTCTCCGGAGCCCTCTGCAACCAAGGTACTGTCTCGGGCCGCAAGGGGACAGGGTGCGGGACGAGGGCCCCGGACGGACAGACTCACAGGAAGGGCCTGCTGCGAATGCAGTTCCTTCCGGGTGCAGGGCCCAGGTCTCTTTCCCAGGACCAAGCGCCACCCAGCATGACAGAGGAACACAGAGGTGACATGCGTGTCTCACATCAGCAAGGGATGGGGACAAATTCAGGCTCCGGCCCCATGCTAAAGAAGGAAAATAAGTGAGCATAGACAGCCCACAGCAGAAGTGGCACTGGTGGAAAAGGTTACGGGACAGCGCAGGAGCCGGCATCACAGATCCCTCGACACACACTCTCCTGGCTCAGCCTCAGGGTCCTTTACACCACCAACCCCAGGGTGGTGTGGAGCGGGGCACGGCTCCAGTGGCCATCAGGATGGGGAAGGAGGAGAAAGGCATTCATTCTGGGGCGCACAGCCAGCCTGTGTGAGGCCCAGACCCAGTGATGTGGTGGCTGGAGATAGGACAAGGTGCCCAGGAGGGCGCTGGGGCCTTAAGAAAGGGCTTGGAACACAACCTTGGCCTTCAGCTTATTTACACTCTAGCCTGCAAAGGGCAAAGGAATCTTTAGGTAAACATAGAGCGAGTGAAAGGCAAAGTCAAGGTCGCTGAGGCAAGAATCTCATCTGGCCTCTGCTTAAATCCTTTCCTTGACTGAGAGCTCACTACCTCCCAGGGGAACCCATTCCTTTGATGAATAATCACTGCTGAGCTGGGCTGTTTAGGTCTGAGGGCCGTTAATATGTATGAGTGGAAGGTTTACTCCGTGCAGCGTTGGGGTCATGAGACATATGGGCCCCAGGGAGACGCATGTGACAGTTTCATTTGCTTGCAGCCCTCCCAGGACAGTTTAATCATCACCTGACATGCGGAGGTTTACTTATTAAACGTAGGAGACCCAGCCATCGATACAGCGGGGCCCGGTCTAAATTAGGGCCCCGGCAGCCTGAGGAGTCACTCTCGTATCCCTCGATGTCTGATTTATCGCCCGCTGGCCTAATGAGTCTTTTCCACATATAGATCTAATAGAGTTTGCTATTAATGCCAACTGCCCTGGTTAAGTCTCAAACCTTGTAAAAAATTGAACTGACACTTTCTAATGACTGGCTTTCCAGTGAGTTACAAATTACAGATGCTGCTTCTCCAGAATCATTAAACATAGATTAAATATAACCAGATGTTTTCTTTTCCCCAGCCCCCTACTCTCGCTCCACCGCCCCTTCTCTTTGGCTGACTCTTGATTCAGCTGAGAAGTCGACCAATTGATGTATTAGGCTGGTCGCGTTAGTAGCTCTTTGGGTGCGTCTGTCGGCCGCGTGTGTATGAGGAACACTCAGACTCCGATGATGTGATTGTCCTGTTAGGCTCACAGCTGGTGTGGGGTGGACAGAGTAGCTCTGGCACCCTGCTGGCCTCCGAGAGTAAGGATTGGAGGTGGGGTCCCCAAATCCAGCCCCTCCTAGGGGCAGCAAGCAAAGAGGTCAGGTGACTTGCTTCTCAGGGTCCTGAAGCGCAGGCAGGAGAGAAGGGTCTTTATCCTCCTGCAAAGGCCCAGATCAGCCAGCTGGCTGATGGCCTGTAGCCAGGCACCAGGGCTCATTTCAAAGATGAGAGTCAGACAGAGCGGTGATGTGGTTTGCTCAAAGGAACTTAGGAAGCGGTAGAACTGGCTGTGCGACCTTAGGCAAGTTGCTCCTCTCTCAGTGTCTCAGCTTCCTCATCTGTACAGTTCATGATGAGAATGAGGATGAGACTAAGAGCATTAAAAGATTAAGTCAGTTAATATTCATGAAGCCCTTGGAGCAGTGCCTGGTGCGTATCAAGCCGTTTGTTGAAAGGCACAGGGGAGAGGCCAGGGGTATGTTTGGAAATGGTGTGTGGCCAGTGGTCCAGTGTCTGGGAAGGAGAGGCTGTCAAGGATATCCAGGTGAGGGAGGTTAAGTGCTGGACCCTAAGATCCAGAGATTTATCCTGGGGCAACGAGGCACCATTGAGGCTGTCGGAGCGGGGCACAGGAGTGCCACAAAGAGGGTGTGCTTCAGAGAGCCCACACTGTAGGAGCAGGGGGCATAGACTGCAGGCAGCTAGATAGGGAGGTGCTCTGTTAACACTCCGGGCTGGTCCTAAAAGGGCTCCACAGCCTGACGGAGGAAGCCCAACTTCCTCCAGGGATGCGGGAGCGGCTTCTCCGCTGTGGGTGACTGAAACCTACAGCTGACCCCAGGGTAGAAACAGAAGCTCAGCGGAGGACAAGGCCTTCAGAACCCAGATGGATTTCCTGGGGGAAGGGCACGCTGAGCCGAGGCTTGGGGAACAGAGCGGGGGACAGGTGGACAGGCGGGCAGGGACATTCGTAGCCAGTCCTGCAGCAATCAAACTGCAGGTGGAACTGCTGCGCTGTGGCTGGCCCCTCCTCCCAGCTGTATGCGTTTCCCACCCAGTGGCTGTGGGCTCGGTGACGCTGCAGGTGGGGGGAGGGGAGGTGGGGAGCAGCACAGGGAGCACTGGACTGAGAGTCCAGGGTGAGATCCCAGCATCAGCACTTGTCATGTGATTCTACCCTCAGCCAAAGGGGACAGGAGAGGGCACACCCACTTACGTGCAAATGGAGAAGCGTGGTGGGTGGGGCTCCCCCGTGGGTCATTCCCATCCAGATTGGTTACTCCAGGTTGGTTGTGGCTCTGGCCCAGGAACCTCTGGGGGTACAGCTGGGGGTGGGGGTGGTCTAAGAAGCGAGGGCAGAAGGCTGGATACCAGGCTAGCCTGTGCCCACAGTATGTGCTGGAGGGCACTTCGGGCAGGACTGTGCCCAGCTCTGTTCCTGTGCCAACAACGGGACCTGCAGCCCCATCGATGGCTCCTGCCAGTGCTTCCCTGGGTGGATCGGCAAGGACTGCTCCCAGGGTAAGCTGCTGCCCTGGCGCCGCCTCCAGGGCTGAGTACTCCTTCTGCAGACAGGAAGGCCCACCTGAGTCCCAGGGAGCTCTAGAGCCACGATGCATGTCTGGGGGTGGCCATAGCTAATGTTCACTGCTGGCATGACAACCGTGATACTGCTGGCAGTGCCATTAATGCCAGGAATCAGTATGCCGAATCCATCGGCACCCACACCAGGAGTAGCTGGGTTCCCCTGGGGAGGAGGGGACAGGGATTTGCATGCTGGAGTCTAGATGCAGAATGAGGGAGGCCAGGGCAGTCACCTCGGGAGCAAGGCAGACACCCTGTGGGTGGCTCCTATGGCCCATTTCCTGGGCCTCAAGCCTGGGCAGGGAGTCCCAGGGGCCATTCATGTAAGCTGCACCCAATCTGACGCAAAGGTACATCGTGGCCAGGGAGTCCCCCCTCTGAGGGTGGAGCCCCGCGTCTGATGGGCGAGAACCAGCAGAACCAGCTGGTACCTGCAGGGAGGCCCCGGTTAGGTAGCGTGGCCTGAGCAGATTCTGTGCTGATGGGGAGACTTGGGCTCCACCCTCAGGGAGCTCAGCAGCCAGGAGAAGGCCTCACTCACTGGAGGAAGTTAGTACCCAGTGTGTGCACTGCCAGCCACAGCATGGCCCAGCTCTCACCAGTCCCCGCAGAGGGCAGGGCCAGCGGCCTCAGAGCCACACAGTGAGTCCCCAAAGTCTCCAAGTGGCAGAGAACTGGGGCTTAATGGGAATCCCAAGTGACCTGGCCTAGAGGTGAGCTTAAGAAATCTGGGAACAGTACATCAGGCCCTGAAAGCCCCAACTGTCACCCAGGGCCATCCTGAGAATTGGCTGACTTGCTCTCCCTTCTCTGCACCCCCCCCACCCCCCAGCATGCCCGCCCGGGTTCTGGGGCTCCGCCTGCTTCCACACCTGCAGCTGCCACAACGGGGCGAGCTGCAGCGCGGAGGACGGGGCCTGCCACTGCGCCCCAGGCTGGACCGGACTCTTCTGCACGCAGCGTAAGCCCCGCCTCCCCGCCACTCCCGATGCCGTGCTGCGGCCTACTGGCCGCCTTGGGCATAGCCCGGGCTGCAAGGTTGCGGGGAGAGGAGCTGGGCCCTAGAGCCGGGCTGGAGTCAAGGAAGGGGTTCGCAGGCACAGGGTCTTGTTAGGACAGGGCAGTGAGGTTCCCCAGTGATCACCAGGCCAAGACCCTCCTTGGACAGTGGAAGGGACAGCCAGTGGTGAGCAGCAAGGAGACCCAAGCTGGCGTCTGGTCCAGGGCCCGTGGGTCCGGAGGCCACCTAGCGCTACCCCTGCCCCTTCAGCGTGAGGGTTCAGAGGGTGGCGATGGTTGGGACAGGGTTGCATTAGCCTTCAGCCCGTGCTCCACCAGAAGCGGCACAAGACGGGTCCTGGCTGCCCTCCGCAGTTGTGCGGGCCCTGTGGCAGCTCCTGTGACCAGGGCTCATGTTCTGTAGGTTGCCCAGCAGCGTTTTTTGGGAAGGACTGTGGGCGTGTGTGCCAGTGTCAGAACGGCGCAAGCTGTGATCACATCAGCGGCAAGTGCACCTGCCGCACGGGCTTCACTGGACGCCACTGTGAACAGAGTAAGATGCCAGGGCCCTGTCCCCGGTGCCAGCGCCAGGCCTCAGCCTCCTGCAGCGGAAGCTCCACTGCGCAAGAGGGGCGCGCAGGCAGGGCTCTGTGTACCCCCGTCCCCTTCGATACAGCTCCTGCCGGGAAGACTCCCTCCTGCGGCTGGGACGGGGCAGGGGCTGAGGGCTTGCAGAGGTGGGGCCTTCGTGCTGCTTCTCTGAGGCCCCATCCCACCCAGCCTGGGCCCGGCCCACGGAGGTTGCTACTCACGCGTGTAGCATGAGGAGGGGTGACTGCTTCTCCGGCTCTGCCCTGTGCCCTCTCACTCGAGGACTGCTGCCCGTCACCCCCGGAGACTCCCGTGGGCAGGGGAGCGTGGCTGCCTTACTGTCTGCCCACCTTCTTTATGCTGCACAGGATGTGCTCCGGGAACTTTTGGCTACGGGTGTCAGCAGCTGTGTGAGTGTATGAATAATGCCACCTGTGACCACGTCACTGGTACCTGTTACTGCAGCCCTGGATTCAAAGGCATCAGGTGTGACCAAGGTAGTGCACGGGTGAGAGAGCGCCTGTGCAGGGGTTCTGATAACGTACTTTCTTTTTGAGGGGGGAGCGGGAGGAGGGCATCTCTGGCATTGTCCCCAGGCTCATCCTTGTCAAGAGTCCCGTGAGCCCAGCAAGGGCATCCCCAGCTCCTGCTGTGGGAAGGCCTCCACCAAGTCAAGATGACATGCCAAGGTCTAGTTCTGCTGTTGGCTACGACAAGCCGGCTGGTTATGCCACATGCAAAGTAGGGAGAGATCAATGATGGTTTCCCCCAGGACATGAGGTTCCTCAGAAGGCCTAAGAGCCCAAAGTGGCTCCATCCTGGCTCTGGCACTGCAGTCAGACACCTCACAGAGGAGCTGGGGGGACCAAGTTGAGACACTGAGTAAAGGACTCAACACAGCCCCCAGCACAGGTACGCACTCCAGAGATGGCAGCATTCTCTTGAAGTGCTGCGGCCCTGAGAGGGTTGGTACTGTTGGTGCTGGGCGCTGGGGGAGGAAGGCGAATGGGCTCTGAGTTGCCCTCACGACAGAACAGGAGCCCAAAGACGCTTCCTTTCTAGTCTGAGAAGAGGAGCACAGCACATTGACCTCCCTGGTGCTATCGTGCAGCTGTTCAGCTGCAGCTGAGGCCAAGATGCTGCTGGTTAGTACCACAGCCCGCTGAACTGCGAATCAGCAGAGGGGGAGAGCCACACATATGTAATCTTGGGTTCAAAGGCATGGCACTCCCGGCTTTTATTTATTTATACTCGGTGTGAGCCCAGGACCTTTGCGCTAAGCAACATCCCCAGAACTTTTTTTTTTAGCCCAGGTTGAACTCTAACTCGCAATCCTCTTGCCTCAGCTTCCCAGAGCGCTGGGATTACAGGCGTGCACCACCACGCCCGGCTCCACACCCAGCTGCCATTGTCAGTTTATCACTGGGCGCTCACAAACCCAGGTGGGAGTGTTGTCCCTGGGTTACACCGCTGGTGAGTGGGAGGAGCTGGCCTGGTTTTTCCTGCCTGCCAATTACTGGCTGTGTGACCTTGGGCACATTCCCTAGCCTTGCGGTGACAGTATTTTCACCAGTAAGAAGGGGAAATGGTCCCCTTTTCATAGCGCTGGTCCTATGACTCAAACTTCACACCCACAGTCACACTTGTTCCTTGTCCCGATTGGGAACTCCAGCGTCCTTTAGGCAGTTGAGGAAGCTGAAGCAGAGGGAAGGTTGGGTCAAACAGGGATTAAAGAAAAGGGCCAAGACCAGAAGCAGGTCTCTGAGCAGTATAGAGGCTGCAGGAGCCTGATCCCGGCCCCAGCCATCCGAAGAGCAAGTGGCCCCACGTCAGGCTCAGGCCGGGCCTCCCTCCCTCTCTGTCCACAGCTGCCCTCATGATGGAAGAGCTGAACCCCTACACCAAGATCAGCCCAGCCCTGGGCGCGGAGCGGCACTCGGTGGGCGCTGTCACGGGCATCGTCCTCCTGCTGTTCCTCATGGTGGTGCTGCTGGGCCTGTTCGCCTGGCGCCGGCGGCGGCACAAAGAGAAAGGCCGAGACCTGGCTCCCCGTGTCTCCTACACCCCCGCCATGCGGATGACCAGCACTGACTACTCCCTCTCAGGTGAGGGCTCCGCCCACCCCAGCTTCTGCCCGGCCACAGGGCCCAGGAAGAGCACGCGGTTTCCTTGGGACACTGCAGGGTCAGTGGCTGGGTGTGGTCACCCCAGGGAGCCAGTGGGGATGGGGCGGCAGGAGCTTACCTGGGAGAGGTCCGTGGGGCCCCAGACCCTGTCTGAGAGCTGTTCTCGCCCGGCCCCAGGAGCAGTCACTTCAGAGCACATCTCCCTCAAGAGCCGCTGGTGCACCCTGGGATGCCTAGGCCTTGGGGCCAGGGCCCAGGGCCTATCCATTTCTGCTTTGCTGGCAAAGGCCTCCGGCCAGCCCTCTGGGAGACAGAAGGTGCTCAGTACAGGAAGAGGGTGGGACCTGACCTGGGAGAGGTCTGCAAGGCGGGATGCTGTCCTGGCATGTGTACCGGAGCCCACTTTGTGCACAGATGCAGCGGACAACTCCAGCAGGCATTCTGCCTGGGAGTCGGGTGGGGTGGGATGTGGCTCCCCGGCCAGGCCTCTCTTCCCCTAAACCTGCACTACCATACTTGGAGATAAGGCTTGAAGGATGTGGCTAAACTAGAGGACAAAATGCTCTGAAATTTCCCATAGTCCTGGGCCCTGGTGGGCTGCCTGGGTGAGAAATGGCGGCAGCTCCTTGCAGCGGGCTCACTGGTGACCTCCAGCCTCCCGCACCTTGTGCTTAGCACTGACTTCCTCAGCCTGCTGCAGGCCAGCTCCAGGCCTCCACAGGAGTGGGTGGCCCAGGTGCACACCTTGCCTGTGAAGGGCTTCTGGCCTATGTGCCCCCTTGGGTTTTAGCCAAAGCTAGCATCCTCTGATGAAAGCCTAGCCCGGCCCTCGGCTTTGGGGATTTTCTTCTGTGACTACAATGCGCTAGGCTGGCTGGGTCCCCACTCCAATCCTCTGGTATTCCCTGGGCCCTCAGTAGAGCAGGGGAAAGACAGGAGCTCATAAGAGTGCGTTCTGTTTATGGACTCCTGCTGGGTCGGACAGAGGGGAGGCTCAGCCCTGTATAGCAACACACCTGACACCCTCTACACTGGGCATTTGCAGGTTGGCACCTGGCAAGGGGCAAACCAGGCTCTCCAAATTCCTGCTGGGGTAGTGGACACCAGGAAGCTGGGGTGGGGGACTTGGCTGCCTCTCTGCAGTGTCCTCTCAAGGCCGCCCAGCCCAAGCATTGGCTTCGCGGATGTCTAGGCCCGGAGCAGGCGGATGATGGAATATGGCACCTTGTTCTCTTCCCAGATTTGTCTCAAAGTAGCAGCCACGCCCAGTGCTTTTCCAATTCCAGCTACCACACACTGGCACGTGGGGGGCCTGCTACCAGCCAGGCCAGCACTCTGGACAGGAACAGCCCCACCAAGGTACCGGGCCCCTGACTCCCTAGCTCCCATCCACTGTCCTGTCCCGCAGCCCCCTGCTCTGCCTGGGAAAGAACTTCACCCCTCCCCACATGTAGCGTCCATGGGGAACCAGTACATTGAGAGCACCCTGTGGTTCATGGTACTCGTAGTAGGGAGAAGGCACGTTAAGTGCAGCCAACAAGGTGATGCCATGGAGCTGGTGGGCCTCACGCTCAATGTAACATACCCCTGCCCTGGTGTGTAACCAGCTGGTAATCTTCAGGGGAAGACTTCTTGTCACACATAACAGTATACCATGTGGGCACTTCTGCCACACGTCATGTGTAATCAAAACACTGTACCACCTACCCTATGTCACTGCAGTTATATTGACACGCGGTGCACAACCAGCTTGGTAGAGATTCACTACCAACACTCTGCAACCCGTCTCTTGAACTTGGACAAAACACTTATCAAAACACAAGGGATGTGGGACCTAAAACTCCGCCATAGCCAGCATCCCCACTGGCAGGACCTTCCATGATGGCTCCTGGCACAGCCTGGTGTCCTCAGTTACAGGTCTGTGGGCCGGGACAGCTCAGCACATAGACCAATACCAGGCAGAGTGGGAGATGAAATGAAGAAGAATAGCCGCAAGGGCAAGGTGTGATGGGCCCCTGCGGCCCACTTCCTGCCACCTCCTTGCTCTCCCCAGGATCCCCGACTTGCTGTGCCTCCATCCTGGGCCTGGAGCAAAGCCTTCGTGTTCTAGGCCCCGACCCTCGGGCTTTGGGAATCCCTTTCTCCCGGCTGCCCGCCAGCCCAGAGACCAGGCTTCCTACTGCACACACAGCAGGAGGGCCACAGACTGTAGTCTCAAGGGCAACACCCTGCGGCCGCCCTCGCAAGTGCTCCGTAGGGCACACAGGGGCCAATACACAAACTCCGTGGCCCTCGGCCCCACACAACCCACCCGCTCCACTCAGACCTGTTCCTGGCTTGCAGAACAGGGAGCTGAGAGGCCATCTGAAGTTTCCCCGCAGGAGGCCTTGATTAACTACAGCCAGGTTATTCAGGCTGCAGCAGGCTCAGGGCAAAGGATGCCGCGGATGCAGGACAAAGGCTCCCGTGGCCATGTTCGTCTTGGTCTCAGTCTTACTGGCACACAGCAGCCACCCTGTCAGAGGCTAGAGTTACTGCACAGTAGCCCACTTGGTGACACGTGGCTCAGCTCACCTCACCCCTACCAAGACACTAGGGCCCCTCAGCTGCTAGGATCACCCTAGCGGAGGCAGGCGGCCGTGACGACACGGAAGGACACAAGCCACTGTGAAAGTGCAGGGAGAAAGGGCTGCACCACAGGGCTTCCCGAGTCCCACGCGAGGGAGGTGCTCTCACTGGGCCCAGGTCAGAGGGCAGAGGTAGCAGTGCTGTAGGCAGCCTCAGCAGCTCCCTGTGCTGGCCAGGGCCCTATGTGACAGCCAAGCGCCAGTCTGAGCCCCCTCGGCTGCGGCTCAGCCCCACCTGGACGTTCTGCCGCCCACAAGGGGCAGGTTGGTTCAGGGAGTCCTGTCCTTCAGAGGCCCTGTTTCCTGGTCCTCTTTGCAACAAGGGGCTTGGGAACCCTAGATCTTTGCCCAGACAGCTTGGATAGGCCTCGGCCACAACACGGTGGCCTGTCCTGGGCCATCGAGCCCTCTCCTACCTCAGTGGCCCAGGGCCCAGGTAGGTCAGGATCACGGAGGTGGGGCCAAGTGATGGTGGGGAGGGGGGCCTGGGGCACTAGGTCCTAACTGCCTCTCCTGCTCTCCAAACAGCTCAGTACCAAGTCCCTTGACAGAGACACGGCAGGCTGGACCCCCTACAGCTATGTGCACGTGTTAGGTCAGTAGTGGTTGAGTCTGCCCCCCAACCATGCCTCACCCTTTCTTCCCCTACCGAGGGGCCTGGCCCAGCTTGGAGGGAGAGGGTTAGAGTTACTAGTGCTGCCTGTGGTTTCCCCCGGGGTGATGGGCTGCAGGGAGGAAAGCCAAGCCCCTATCTTGGCTCATAAGCAAGTGAAAGCCCCGACCCCTTTCATTTCTACAGTGAGACTATAGTGGGTGACAGCTAGGGCTGGGATATGGGGACTCCAGGTGGAGCAAAAGGTGCACTCGCACCTCTGCCGGTCCAGGCCCTGTAAAGGGGCTCCTTGCCTCCGCCCTGCTGGACACCAAGCGCAGTGCAGGGTGGGAGTGGGAGGGACCAAGGCATCAGATGCCCTGGCTCTGAGTAGTGGATGCTACCCAGAGGCCTTGGCCCTTTCTAGGCTGCCCCACCCGGTCCCTTGACCCTTTGTGTACACCCCACCCCCTTCTCCCGCCATACCAGACCCTGGGAATAATGGCTCCTCCCTGTCATTCCTCTCACTAGACTCCCATTTCCAGATCAGTGCCCTGGAAGCCAGGTACCCGCCCGAGGACTTCTACATTGAATTTAGACACCTCAGCCATCCCGCTGAGCCACACTCACCAGGTCAGACCCCCGCCCTCCCCTCCACTCCTCAGACCAGACCCAGCGCCCACCCAGCTGCCTGCCCCACCCCGTGGGCCCAGAGCTCTCGCTGCCGACCCTCCACCATGATTCATCCACCTACCCAGGGCCCTCGCAAAAGCAATCGGTCCGAGTCTTCCCCGTCACTCGGCCAGTGGGTGTGGACAACCTGGGGTGCTTTAGGTGAAGGAACACCACATAAATGCACTCCTACCGCACACAAAATTGCAACTCCAAACCACTGGGAAATGATTGGGGAGTGGCAGCACCGTGGGAGAGCTTGCGCTCTAGCCAGAAAGCCCACTGTCCCCCAGAGAGACCCAAGCCAGGTTCTTCCAGATCACCGAGTTCGGTTCTCAAGCGCAGGTCTGGAGAAGCTGGGGCAGGACTGCGGCGCAGTATCTGGTAGCTCACCTGGTGGCTTGTGAGAGGCGTAGCAAGGGGACTCGGCGTGGGGTAGGAGGTGGAGAGAGGAGCTGAAGGAATGAGTGCAATTAGTGAACTGAATGTGGTCTCCCTACAAATACTCTGGGGCCAGGTGTAGGGCACTGGGTAAGTCTGGGCCTGAGCTCAGGGTCAGCTGGCTTCTACAGCTCAAAGGAAACAGCAGTTCAACCAATCTCTGCACGTTCCTGGGCCCAGCAGCACTAGGAAGAGTAAAGGTTCTGAATTCAACTACCTGTCGAGCAGGTATGGGCTGCAAACATGCTGTGCACATATCCAGAGAGCTGTTTTGGGCTGTGGGTCCCCCAGACAGTGGCCATGGTATTTGATAACCCGAGCCATTAAACCCCTATGCCCTACCACCAACACTCACCCAGCACCCCATGTACTGCTTTTTACACGGGGACATCCTCTCTGCTCAGGCCTGATTCCTCCCTACTTTCCAGATCTACTCTTCACCCCATGCAGCAGGAACACCATGCACAGTACTCTAGTAGCTTACATGCAGACAGCCCAGTGGTCGATGGGAGCCAATATGTGGGGGAGATGTGAGTTCTAGTTGCACCTTAACTTCTCACTCGCTGGTATGGTCTCAAACAAGTCTCTGCTACTCTCTGGGCCCATGTCCTGTTCTATAAAAAGGAAAGAGTTAACAGCTTAGCCACCTCTAGGGACAGCACAGGAAGCCATTGTCTGGTGTACAGGGTTCAAGTCATGCCAATCCAGACTGTTGCAGTATTGTTTCTGAGGAGCCCTGGTACCTGTAGGCCTTCTACATGATTAGCCAACTTGGAGAAACTCGAGCTGTTCTGCTGTAGTACTCAGTACTGTGCAAAAGGCAGCCACAGGAGTGAACCCCTGCAAATTTGGTGGGGGACCTCTGCAGGAAGGCTCTGAACAGCAGTGGGTTGGGGGTCAGTGTCAGAAACGGCAAGTCAGGAGTCAGTGAGTACCTTAGTGAGCACTGCTGCATGCCTTGCCTGGTAGCGTGTCCTCAGCTGAAGCTTTCAGAAGGAAAAAAAAGTGGCCTTGACTTGAGCCACAGTCATTACTGTCCCAACCTACAAACGCCAGGCTGCTGCTTTTCCGGGATTGCCAGCAGCAAGGAACTCATGCTTGGTCCTCGAAGCTTTACATCCTGCCTCTGGCTAGGGCTCAGGACCATGCGCTGCGGGAGCCTAGGGAAAAAAACTATGATAGCAAAAGGGCTAAAGAAATCTTTGGGGCTGAAAAACATTGGTAATGCTTTTCAAAGGCAAGTTTCAGTTCTGTACGAATAATCCATCCTCCAAAAAATGGGTCTGTGGCTATGAAAGGCTGTTCTTCTGGAAAGATGACATAAGAACCCCAGCCACCTGTCTACCCTCTCTGGCTCCCCTCAGCTGAGCCTTGCATCCAGGGGAGGAGAGGCAAGGCCAGAGCTGACAGATGAGAAACTGTCTCTACCTCCCTTGCAAAATCCAACAGAATGGAGATCTGCAATGTCATTCAGCCTTCCCTCCAGCTAGGAACTGTGACTTTACCTACAGCTGTGGCAGGTGGCAGCCAGGAGGCCTTTTATGATCTGCTGAAAGGCTTGTCCCTAGGGTAGAGGTCAAAGTGAAAGCTGAGTAGGCCAGGGGGTGCTGTAACAGGGCCCCTTAAAGCTATGAGCCTTTTATGAATTCCTGTAGCTCAACATGATTCAGGGCAAACTCAGAATAATGTTCTAGCAATAAACTATTTCCTGAGTAGGACAGAAAAAAACTCCACAGTGGTCTAAACCTCATACCCCCTGCTTTGTTATTTTTATGCAGGTGCTTGTGGAATGGATAGACGTCAGAACACATACATTATGGACAAAGACTTCAAAGGTAGAGTATCCAATCCTGACATCCTATTAAAAAGGGCCTAGCAAGAGAGTACAGATGTGAACTGGCCAGGAAGTTCACCCAAGAAACTGCTGCTCCACGCCCCGGAGGAAAAAAAAAAAAAAAGGACCACAGGACCAGGGCTTCTGGGTAAGCTCTGCCCAGGAGGAGCAATCATGATAATGAATTCATCTTCCAATTTCAGTTGCACCTGCCTAGCAAATGCTTGTGGGTTTTTTTTTAATAGATGCCAACTAAATGTCTTCGGAAATGTAGAGCGTCATTATCTAACCAATTAGTACCAGTTAAACTGATTATAAAATCTGAAATAAAGTCAATCTACCTGCCCCAGAGTCCTCCTGTTGTTGTGCTGGCAAGGAATGCCACCCCACACCTGCTGCCTTTCTGGGGCACAAGGAAGGAAAATGACACCCACTGTTAATACTGTATGGGATTGCACCCGCAAAAGATCCCGCCCCTGAGAGCAGAGAGGGCAGGACAAATCCCTCACACACAGCAACTGCAGGTCAGAGCTTCCCTCTAGGATGCTGACAGGTGAAGCCAAAAGTGGAAGGCCAAGTCCCGCCTCCAGATGAGGTCCTAGGTCTAAATGTCAGGTCTGTGAAGTAGAGGGCTTTGCATCTCTGTCACTTGTTAACTGTGACCTTAGACTGTGAGCTCCCCAGGGCTCAGTTCCATCTGCAAGGCTGGGATAATTATGCCTGTCCTATCATCTAAGAAGGCTATCATGAGTATCCAATAAAATCACAGATGGCAAGCGTCTCGCACATTATAAAGGTGGTACTAATGCAATGGGGTTCTATTAAAAGTGCTTCAGCCAAACAAAGATATATAGTTCAATGAACATCCTAGATCTAGCTGTGCACCAGAATCATTTGGAAAGTTTGTTAAAACATCTCCCTGAGACTGATGCAGTAGATAAGAGCAGAGCTCTGGAATCTGACATTTGTGATGAAGACCTCAGGATATCCTGTGCAGCTTAGTATCCAACTATCATTTAGAAACCACCAGTCGGAGCCGGGGATATAACTCAGCAGCACAGCGCCTGCCTGGCAAGCACAAGGTCCTGAGTTCAATTCCTGGTACTACAAAAAAAAAAAGAAACCACTAGTCTAGACTGTCCCAGACTCCTAAGTTACTATTTTGACCTTTCCGACCCAGCCTTTGATACACCGAAGACACAACCATCTCCTAAAACTAGCTGTCTACAGCTCTTGGGGAGATCATTAGAAGTGAGGCGAGGAAGAGGCAGGTAGCAAGTAACATGTTCTGAGTGATAGAGCAGTAAGGAGGAAGGGCCATCAGCATTTGTGAGGCTATCCAATGCCCAAAGAACTGCTGAGACCAGGTGGTCACACTCAGACTCCAAGCCAACCAATAGATGGTACCTTTGGGAGCTGGATTCTGATAATTTTCTGTTATGACTCAAACCATCCAAATGCAGGCAAGCGCCATTTCAGTAATTGAGGTTGCAAACTGAGAAGGCAGCTCTACCTTTCGTTATGGTGATCTCAGTTTCTTTCACAAACAAGTTGGGGTTTGGGCAGAAAGATCTTCAAGGGCCTTTCCTGCTTGGAGAATACGCATGACTCAGCGTGAGTAAGCCCAGGCAGGCCCAGACAACTTTCCACACACCCTGCTGTCCTCTGCATTGTAATGAGGGTAGCTACTTTTAGACTTGAAACCATAAATGTAAAACAACACTAAGGAAAGCAGAGCCTCTGCGTCATTTCATTCCTCTTTTATGAGATCATACATCCAAGCCTCTGAGTGAAAAAGGCCTTAGCACGCAGGCAGCCGATTTCATTTCACCACGCTGGCTATCATCATTCTTGAACTTAGAGACAAAAGAGTATTGTGCCGACGGGAGCAAGGGAACTCCAAAGGAGAAACATGAAATAGCACAGTTCGGAACTTGACAGAAATATTTACAAAAGACATGGAAAAAATCCCACCTATTGGTTAAACCCCCTAAACATTTAGTTTGTATCACAAATTAAACTGTCTTCTAAAAATCACAGGGCCAAACCAAAGCAGAACTGCCAAGACTCTTTAAGTACGCTCTGAACTCAATGGGAAAAGCCCTTGCCTAGGAACCAGGAGAGCTGGGCTGTAGCTCTCACCGTGCGGCTCTGACTAGATCACACTGGGGTCCTGGCCATAGAGTTGCACCAGCATCCCCTAAGGTGGTTCCTAGCCCCGGCACTCCCAGTCTTAACTGAGTCAACATCCACTCTTCCTGCTCCTACTGACTGATGAACTCCACTCACTGCCATCCTGGAGGCCCTTCTGCCTTACCTTCAGCACGCGACTCAGCAGCTCCAAATGCCACATGGGAAATCCTCCCAGCCACGTGCCACTCACCTCCGGAGCCCACTACTGTTGCTGCTCTCCCCATCTGCATGCTCCTCTGCCATCCAAGCTCCAAGTCTCCCCATCAAATAACCATGGGTTCTTAGGTAATTAGGAGTCCGCTGATTTCTCAAACTCCTTTTGCAGCCAGTGTTCTCTTTCTGACCCTGAGACCACCTCTCCCCCTTCCCCATAGCCCATCGCTCCATCAAGAGAAGGATGCTTATTGCTCAGAAAAAGAAAACTGTGTGGCCTATTAACAGCATTAGACCTAGGGGCTCAGGGGCACATGCCTATAATCCCAGCACTCTGGGAGGCTGAGGCAGGAGGACAAGTTCTCCCCTTTGACAACTTTGAAAGACCCAGTCTCAAATGGATATACCTCACTGTGTAAGCCCTGGGTTCAATCCCCAGAACCATTAAAAAAAAAAAAAAATCATTGGCCAAACAGCACTGTTGCCTGGGTTTTGCCCCACACTTAAACTGGGCCTTAAGGTCAGATTCCTGGGTAGGTTCACAGCCCACGCACAAGGTGGGTATAGAAAGCCACTTCCTCTGGATTTGTGCTTCCTTGTAAAATGATGTTCAGTTCATTTCAGAAGCTGTCTCTTGTATGTAACAGCCAGTGCTTTGAGGAGGTAGCAATTAATGAGAGCAAATGCCAGGGCATTTATAAGACTCAGCCTTCAATCCTGATGCTAATTACCAGCCAGGAGGAGTGACTCCCCAGAGGACCGTAGCCCAGTGGCTGAAGCTTCCCCTTTATTTGCAAAATGTCCTGAAGCTTAGGGACTGGACGGGGGTGGGGCTGTAAAACAATGAGGAAGTGAGAGCAGCTGTTTTTTCTTCCCCTCCCCCGGCCTTGAGGGCAGGTGTAGGACTCAGCTGGAGAGAGGGCTGCCTGGGGTGGAGTCCACCAGCTGGCCTTGCCCTTCCCTCCAGTGCCCAGCAGATGTAGGTCAGTGCAATGCCCCGCCCAGCCACCAGGCCGCCAGCACACACTAGAAATTTCTTTATCCTTGTCTCTGCCTCTGGCCCATGTATGGAAGACACATCTGCCTGAGTCCAACCCCCGCCACCCACCTCCAACAACTCTTATCTACTGCTCCAGAGCTAACAATTTATAGTATATCCTAAGTTTTGAAAGTAGCCCTGACTTTCTGGTGAAAATGGAAAGAGATGCTGGCTGAGGCACTTTTGGACACTGAGCCAGAGATTCAATAAAAGCTCCTCCACTAGCAGAACTTAGGCATGAGATACCCACAAGAAGCATGAAGCTGAGCCTCTCGGCAGGACGGGGCCCCACAGTTACAGGTGCCCCTGCTGGGGGTACAGTGGAGCACCTGCAGTTTACACTTTGCTACAAGGACTGAAGTTTTAGCGGCAAGATGTCCTGGGGGAGAAATATTTTGATTGGCTATCACAGAAGACCTGGGTTGAGTCCTGAGTGAACCACTCAGCAACATACTAGCAAACTCTCCTAGTAACATTCCTTCCACCCAGTCCCCTTTCAGATACAACAAGCTTCAAATGGCCTAAGTGGAATGAAGTCTAACATTAAGTACCATACAAAATAAGCTATCACTGTTCTCAAATTTTAGAAAACATGCAACCCAGCCAGCAGTGCTAGCCTTTCTTTAAGTACAGGCAATAGCTTCCACACAAGAAGCCCTGGGCTATTTTGCCTTACTCATCATTTTGCCTGATGAGTTCAGAGAACCCAAACTGGGACAGATGGGCTACCGTAGGGTTCTTGACCTCACCACCACTTCCAAGAGGCAGACTTTGGAGGCTGGTGCAGGTGAGCCAGGGCCCACAGCCACCCTTCCCTTGTGAACCTCCACTGGTAGCTGGGCCTTCTCAGCCTTTTAGTCCCTGCTGGAAGTGCCTGAACCTGCTCACTGCCAAGCAAGAACGTTTTCTTGTCCTCTTCTCTAGGAGAAAACCAAAGACCAGACCAAAGCCACCTGCCTCCCTATTTGTGGGCTGAGTTCTAATGGAAAGCGCTCTGGTTCTAGACCTTGACCTGCTACAGAAAAGCAGGGTGACGCTGGGGAAGTCAGTTCTGTACCTGAAGTCTCAACTTCCTCATGAGCAATAATGGGGAGAGGGGAATAATAATTACTACTCTGCCTGTGTCACAGCGCACTGCGGATGCTTGAAGGAACTCATGGGTACAAGTACTTTCGTGTAAGACTGAGGAAAGGTCAACCTACTAAAACAAAGAACAGAAATTCCCTCCCAACTACTGACCTGCTAGGGAGAAAATATGGGTATAGAATACTCAGCTGGCATCAGCTCAGCTACTTCAGCCACACACAGTGTTCTGTTCTCACAGGTCCAAGGCACATCCTGTCACTCCTTGAGTTATGTCACTTTCGTTTTAACACTTTCCTTAATCTCTCAAGTTGGGGACAGAAGATAAACGGGGAGACACCCACAATGCAAATGTGATGGTTACAGTGAATTTCACTATCACAGAAATGTAAAGCTGGTGTCCTTTTAGATCTCTCCTGACTACCAAACCCCGAGACCCAGTATCTGTTGCTAAACTCAGGCTGCCAGAGCCGTGCAGAGGAAGCCAGAGCTCAGTTGGCTGCCTCCTCCAGGGGAGTCCTGACTCCTTGGGACAATCTGTGGGAGGCAATAACCTTCCCCAACAGGGGAATGGACTGTGTAAGGTCTTCCTCCAGTGGAGCTAGTTACCTTGTTATGTATTAGGAAACCAGTTTGCATCTTTTTGTACTGTGAAGTCTTCTGATGATGCAACTGAGAGGTGGCAGGAGGCAGCACGAGTTCTAGTACAAAGGACACTGCTGAAACAGGGTTCAGTCAGCATTTACGAGAACTGCAGAAAGCAGCCGTCCAGGACACATTGTAAGCTAACTAGAAAAAAGGAACTTTCGCAAAGCTAGCTTGAGGCTCAAGTACTTTTTATGCCTTTATTAGCTTTCAGTTTGCCCAGTTCTAATCATGAGCTCCTGGAAGGCAGGGAGGCTGCTAGCTTGCCACCTAAACTTGCTAAATTGCTGACATCTGCACTCAAACACACTCTGCTTTTGAGTTGAGTTCAGAAGACACGGGCTGCTGGGCACAGTGCTGCAGGCCTGTAATAGCAGCACTTGGGAGGCCGAGGAAAAAGCATCACAAGTTTAAAGCAGCCCTGGGCTAGACAGCACCCTGCCTCCCAACAACAATAGAAGCCAAGAGTCCCAAGGCATGGATTCAAGTTTTAACACTGATCGCGTTACTGCTGTGAGACCTTAGCCAAGTCACTTCATCTCTCTGGGCCTGCATGCCATAAAATGCAAACTATCATCTGCAAAAACTAAAAAAACTGCCTCCCAACAACAATAGAAGCCAAGAGTCCCAAGGCATGGATTCAAGTTTTAACACTGATCGCGTTACTGCTGTGAGACCTTAGCCAAGTCACTTCATCTCTCTGGGCCTGCATGCCATAAAATGCAAACTATCATCTGCAAAAACTAAATATACATGAAAGCATACTATGAGTATCTTGAATAAGTATCTACTAAAAGACATTTTTCCTATCCTCCAAAAACACAAATTTCTCTGGAAAAAGAACTCTCTCAAAAAGCATAACTTAGAAACATTTAATAAATAAATCTTCAATTATCATAAGCTTTTCCAGCCCCAGGACCCCAAAGACATAGATTTAACAGCTGTTTCTGGTATTTAAATGAAGACATATTCTTGCTTGTCCTAAGAACTCTCTCTTGCCTTACAGATTACATGAAAGAATCCGTGTGCAGCTCTAGTACTTGTTCCTTGAATAGCAGTGAAAACCCTTACGCCACAATTAAGGACCCGCCCATCCTCCCTTGCAAGCTTCCAGAAAACAGCTACGTAGAAATGAAGTCACCTGTGCACAGGGGGTCTCCGTACACAGATATGCCATCCTTGTCGACATCTAATAAAAATATATATGAAGTTGGTAGGTGTCTCAAATAAGTGAAAACTTAGTGAAATTAGGGCAAAAGTGCAGCATCTCAAGTAAAAGCAAGCCCACTACACACACCCTGTCTTGGCAGACTCTTCTTTGGTTGCTCTTTAAGGAATACAAGGTAGTCTTTCCTAGGACTGTCCTCTCCCCAGTGCAGGAAATCAAATTCCTGTGCCAACTCTGCTTTAAAACACACACACACACACACACACACACACACACACACACACACGGAACAGAACTGGGGTGGGGACTGGGTACACAGGCTTCAAATGATTATTGATACAAACCTCTATTTTTTAACAAACCTCAATTTAAAAACGGAAACAATCAGAACCAACACTACGCATTTCTGAATCATCATCATAGTTTAAACTGTACTCCTGGGCTCACTGATAAGACCCTTACGTCTATGATCCTAAATCACTTGGGGCTGACCAGAGGCCAGGATTTTGACAGTACATTCACTTGAGGTCTTCTGTATCTTCACAACAAGCCTCCAGCCTAACCCTCATTATCGGTCTAGATGTACAGGCCACACCCCCGCCCCACCAAGTTAAATAGAACTCTTCCCTCCCAAGAAGGCAACCAAAGCTAATCTATTCTTTGAATTCATTTTTCACTATATTCCTTAGAGCCCACAGTCAGTGTGGTCCAAGAAGGCCGCGGTCATAACTCCAGCTATATCCAGAATCCATACGACATTCCTAGGAACAGCCATATTCCTGGTCACTATGACCTCCTCCCACTAAGGCAAAGCCCTACCAGTGGGCCCTCCCAGGACAAGCCATCTTAAGAGGGCTAAGCTTCTCTCTTGCAGTGTGCTCTGCTGAATGTTCTCTCACTCTCAGAAAGAAGACAACCCCTTGACTTGAATACTGATACACACCGGCTCCAGCTACATATTAGTTACTATGTTTACCTGGAACTGAAGAAGAGCTTCCAAATGGGACTTGGGTAATTGTTCAAAAAAGTCTGTAAATGAAGGCAAATCCCATCACCCACCCAGCCCCCAGCCCCAAATGCCCTGGATTATAGGATTTCTAAAACATTTAAGATACCGCTACTCATCATCAGCTAAAATACACAGATTTAACATTTAGAAATATGCTTTTAAAAAAGCATGTAGAATAGCAAACCTTCCAAGGAGGCAAAGGGGCCTGGGGAGACTAGGGGGTTAAAAGCACCTGAAATGTACAGGTACTTTTGGTTGCTGTTACCATCAGCATCTGTTTTACTGCTAAGATAATTAGTACGCAAACATGAACTATTCTAACATCAGTCCTAAAGTACCGGTACCCATACGCCTGGTCCACTGAATTACAAGGGCCAAGATTACAGAATTTAGTCATCTAATGCTGACAACCTCCATTTTATAAAAAAACCAAGACTTTAGTAAAAATCAACTGTCTCTCTTCTACCCCATTAAGTGACAGGAGGCCTAACAAATGAAGAAAGAAAAAGCAATAGTTTCCAAATTGCAGTAGTTACTTTCAGTCCACTGATTTCTGGGCCAGCTTTCCCAAGTTTTGCCAATTCAACCTGCCAGAACAATGCGAGTCAGTCCCGATCTTGTTCTATCGCCCTCCTCTATCAGACACTCGAGCCATTCCACTTGAAATAGGAAATAGGGCATGGAGATGTTGCTTATCGAGTTAGTAGTCATAAACTAGTAAGAACTAAGTATGTCGAAAACTGGCTATTTGGCCTCCCTAATTTATTTAGTTGGGATCCTTTGACTCAGAAAATATTTGCTTTCAAGCAGTTCTTCGTAAATCTTGAGCTTGATGTATTATGGAACCAAAAAGTGTAGATGAAATGAGACAAATGCGGATATACCAAGTTTATATTGCTTACCGTACATTATGCTTTCTGATGGAACTAAATGACACCGGTGATCAAAGAAAGAATGGACTTTAACCACTTGCTGTAAATTGGTATAAAAACTTCCCAGTAAACAGCACAAGAGGATATGAAATGCTTAAAACTACATTTGAGGATGGCCAAGTGTGTATTCCAATAAGCTAATGCTCCAGATCCCAGTGTTCAGACTGCCTATACCTTCCGTACTAATGAGCACATATAAATGAGGCTTGGACGATGCAGAATGGAGCCAACTCCCAAGACCTACCGAGGACCTCTTCACAAGAATTCAGTGGCAAACCATGGAAGCTAATGGCCACTCTGGTGCCACTGCATTCTGCTACTAGTTCAGCCAGTCAAAAACACGTCTAAAAAAGGTACGGAGAAGAGGAACTAAATGCCTGCAAAGCTGGAATACTGTTACAGGAAGTGTGGGAGTTCTGAAACCCCCAATAGAAATTGGAAGTCAGCCATGGAATTCATCAGTCTGGGCAACAGCAAAAGCAAGAACATTCATGAGGAAGCCCCCCTTTCCCTATTTCACTCGAGGCATAAGCAAATTTTAGTGTTAGAGGAAAATATACAATACTTACATGAATGCTGCATGTGTGCATGGGAGCGAGTGATCAGCAACAGTGAACTGACTTTCAAAAAAAGCCTTATTAAAATATAAATACTAGAAAATTACTTTGTAGGCCCAAATAAATATTTCTCATACATATGTAGAAAGAAATAGAGGTAAGAGACTTACCTCAGTTTTCCAGGGCTGCAAGAGCTCAATTATCTTTGTGAAGCAAGGAGGAAAAAGCACGGCGAAGTCAGATCAGCAAAGAGAAACTTCATCTCAATCCCAGGTTTTACCTTCTCCCCTTACCCTGCATGCACAGTAACTGCTACCTGGCAAACTGCAAACAAGTAGCATCACTCGAGTTTCAAGTTTTACCCATCTTTTGCCAACTACCCTCTGGGTAAAGGTATCCAGCGAGAGGTGGAATTGCTAGAGCACTGAGTCAAGAGATTTTGGCAAGTGACTGGCCCTGTTTGGACTCCTTTATTCCCCTTTCCTAAAAAAAAAAAAGGGAGAAGCAGAAAGTACAGAAGGGAGCCCCAACAACCTTTCAGCTCTTGCATTCTATGACTTTTTAAAGCAATGTAGTATAACTCAGACAATACAGAGAAGGGAAGGGCAAAGGATGTGAATGATCTATGGTGACAATAACTGCCTTCACATATCTAAGAATTACTGGTAAAAGACATTTCAATCTTACGGAGTAACTGAGAAATTGACGTCTAGCACTGTCACACACAGGTTCATGGTCAGCCTGAACAGGTGCATTGTGCATTTTACTGGTGACTTGGAAAAATCTGGTATTTTTCAGAAACTAAATTTTCCATCAAATTGATAGGCATACAATTCAGATGAATAAAGAAAGCAATTGTATAATAGTGTAAGAGACTATGAAATGGCAATACTTTTTTTAAACCACAGATTTGTAATATATTTGTCCACTGTGCAGAGGGATTGTACCTTGTACAAAATAAAATGAATTTCTCAAACTAACTGAACAAGAATGCCTACTGTTATACTGCAAACTCAAAACATGTCTATCAACTACACTTCAGGGTTTTAGGTTTACTTTGCGTTGTCAATTTAAGCAGCTGCAAGAGAATTATGCCAATATATGCTTGAAAATCGTAATGAAAAGGTTGCTTATCGAAGGAGTCTCTACCTTTAAAGTCATGGATGGAACCAGTATATTCTTATTCATGTCAAAAGTATTTTCAAAGCATATACACATCTGCTTTCCCAATGTATGTACTCAAAGACATCTATTACAGCTGTGCTCAGCCCTAGAGGCACAATGGTAAAACAAAAACAAAAACAGAAGCCCAAAGGTAGTTTTATGGAATGGAAAAGGGCAAGTGCAAGAGCTATTTAATTTGTATAAATTCCACAAATAGCTTTCTACTCGAAGTTCTCATGCAGTGCAGTCACTTGGGGTGTATCTGTCCCAAGACCCTTTAAAATATAATCTTCTGACCTAACTGATAGAAAAGCAACAGGATTCACTTTGTAATAAAATACAATAAAAAAAGAAAAAAAATCCAACTTATTGAATGCATTCAATAAGTTTAAACTTCTCAAAAGTATGTGTATAAATCTCAGATTTGGGCCAAACCAAAACATTCCACCCTGCCAGTCATAAGGCTTACATGATACTCAAAAGTCACTTCAATTTAATATGTTTAACCAAAAATAGTACAGTTCTGCTGATCAGAAGTAAAAGCCATTCCGGACAGATTAACAGATAACTCTTAGGAGCTGGGGATTTATATTTTAGTGAAAGTCAAAACATAATCCCAAGCTATTAAGGCTAAAAAAAAAAGTATTTACTCAGAATAATTTAATATGTCCTACAAGTCTCAGAATACTGGATTACCCAATACCATAAATGGTAACCAAAGAATAATAGCTGTGGGTTGTGCACTCAATATAAGAAGATTCAGGAATAATACATTCTATTAGTCATTCATGTGACCAGAGGAAGGACAGAAGAGGCCCATTTAATCAGTGTGGTAAGAGGAGATGGAAAATCTTTCTAAGAGGGATGCACTGAGGGACACATGGGAGTTCATTACACAATTATTTATACTTCTGTATAATAATATTTTATTATAAACATTTGTAGAACTATAATATGTGATTATAGATCAATAAATTTTTTTAATAAAAAATTTTAAAACAAATGGTATTTGTCAGACTTAGCTCCCCAAGCTATACCAGAATGAACCTCAGGCTCAGACCCCTCACTCTTAGGTAGCCCTCTCTAATTGTTCCTACATAGGGTTGTAGGGGGACGATATTAGGAATGTAAATATGAACAAAGCATATCCCCCACCCTGAGGATCTTAACAACATGGTGATTGTAAAAGCGCAGGGATAAATACAGGGCTCTGGTGATTAGTGGAGTGCTGATTATGCATTTTCTCCCTGGATTTGCAGAGCTCTGTAGCCTCTTAGTAGCAGTCCAATCCAAACCCACAGAAGGTAGAAGCCCTGGTCTACAGCTTGAGTCAGAGTTCCTTCCTATCTAGCCTCTACCTCTGAAGCCACTGTCTAGCCAGCAGATGGATCCGCCTTAGAGCCCTAAGTACATGAACCTGACTCAAACACAGAAAAGGAATGCTGCTGGGTACTAATTTCCACTGCCATGGCTGGTGCTAGTAAGAGACAGACTAATAGCCAATACACAGGACATTTTATGTTCGTATCACTCATGAATTATGAATCCTGTTTAACAAATGCTCAAGAACCAAATTCAACTATCAGTTATCTTACACCAACAGCCAGAAAATTGCCAGATCGTGTATAAACACCAATCTATACACTTGGATGTAATCACTGCTTCTGTTGTATAGCTAGTTTTGCAGGTTGATCTACTTTCTTGTATATTTCTATTAAAGAGATATTTTTAAAAAATTTAAACACAAAATGCTTTTATAAGTTCTTGCTCAGACATGAATATATTTCAAAGTACATTTCAAAGTCAGCAGAATTTTTTAAACAGCAGTAAACAAGCAGTTCTCGATTTAGTTGATGCAGCAGCCCATCAGATGCTCCTCCCCTTAGCATATATGGGTACTCTTTTGCACATCGTGAAAACTAACAGTTATTTGCAAATGTTCTGAAAATTTTCTTCTTATTCAATGCAGTTAACAAAGAAATAACAATTTAATCAAGCTATTGTGATAACACCAAAAACATTTTGCACAGTATATACTTTTTCTTATCCATTAAATTTAAGTGAGTTAGAATGTATAATATTTTGGATTTAGTATCTGAGTAGAGTTCATTCAGAGAATTTCAGAAGTAAAAGTAGGGATGAACCCCAGAAATGATCTAATCTAGTCCCATCATTAACTGGAAGAACATGAATGCAGAGCTGTGACAGAACCTATCTCTGTCACCCAGTCTTGTTCTGTATTAAATCTACCATCACCATGCGTGATGGTGCACACATGTAATCCCAGCACTTGAGGCTGAGGCAGGAGGATCACTGCAAGTCTGAGGCCAGTCTGGGCTACACAGTGGGTTCAAGGCCAGCCTAAACTGCACAGTGAGACCCTGTCTCAAAAAACCTGAATAAACCTACAACTTTCAATGTTTAAGTCAAATAGTTTAGCAGAGTTTCTAATATATGCCTTGAATGTATATATTATGCAAATACATGTCAAATATCTTCCCTCCAACTCAATTTCCAAGAAAACAGATATCCTTACCCTAATTGTCTCCTTATATATAAGATGTAATGATGTTAGCATGTTCTATTGCTTATTGTTAATATCAGCCTCCTGTGATTTGGGAGGACCCAGCCATTGTTTAAAACATTAGAATGACAACTCCAGTTTCTCTGGCATATTGTACAGGTGAATAGGCAAGGGGACCTGTCTAATCATAGAAAGGGATGTGACACCAGTACTGCCCGGCCAGAAGAAAAAAACTCAGTGCTCTCCTCTCTAGCATAAGCGTCACAGCTCCTTGTGTTGTTAACCCATTAAGTGACATGATTGAAGAGGATTCTTTCACAGTCTTTGATCACTTTTTTTTTTTTAACACAATAAATGGAGGTCATATAGGATCCTAAACAAAATTCACATTTTGTTTTGAATTTTTTCAGGCTTATGATATGTGAGATAATAGATTTCTGTTATTTTCCTCTGTTAAAATAATAAAAAATTTTAAAGATCTGTAAGTTGAAACCTAACAGATTGGATTAAGTTCTTGTGTGCGGTGTTGGCCAAAAATACCTAAATAGTATAGCTTTTTTCTTTAAGCTAGATGAAAGATTATCCTAATAATCAAACTGCTGGAAGTATTTCTATTCAGTAAGTCAACTAAGACAAAAATTAAGACATTCATTTTTCCAACAGCAAAAGAAACAGAATTAGGTCTGATACACCCACTCTCTTAAGAAATCTAACTTTCAGTATTATCAAATTCAGTAATATCAGAACCCTTCAGAACTGAAAAGATCTCTGGCAAAAGACACAGGTTGCCACCTCTTTGTACAATGACAATTTAGCACACTCCATGAAATGTCTAACGATAACTTACCCTTACATAGTGGCAACTATTACTAGAAAGAAAGCACAGAGAGCACTTGAGACAATGACATTTAAGTTTAAATCAAGGTGCAAAGGCTAAATGACTTTTTCAGGACAATATAACAGGTTAAAAGAATATTCAATGTTACAATAACTGAAAAGGAGGATCACACAGCAAAATACTCAATTCTCAATTTCAAATAAAACAGAGATGGAGACTTTTCCTATGTCTGGTGACTCTGTTACACACGGAAGTACAGAGACTATTTCCCCAATGTTTGTTAATACTTCTCCCAGGAAAAACGTAACTGAACTTGAGGTCTAACATCACACTTGAATTCATATACTGATGCCCCAGTTCAGTGTTTACTTGATAATGCCAGCACCTATGTGCTTACTCATCAGAATCAAGTATCCAGGCTGCATCCAAAGGACTCAAAAGAAAATGTAATCTGACAACATAAAAAATAGACCCCCTATAACTGTTTATTAGAATGAGAATATATTCCAAATCAACAACTAAAAAACAAAAACAAAATCAAGTTACAGAGCATGCATAAAATACAAAGTAGCAATTTACAAATAGATAATAGTATCTTTATAACCAATACACTAAAACAATAAAATGGCTACACAGGAAATGACTGACTACAGCAATGCCTTCCGTGCACCCCACACATCATGAGCACCGCAAAAGACAGAAGATTAACTATGAAACATAGTAAATCTATGCAAGCTCACACATATATATTTTTTCAGATATCCCATCATCCTGAAGTTATCACTGCAGTTGACAACTTTCAGAAAACTGCAGAGAAGTGCTTAATATTATCCACATAAGGAAGTAAAACTAAATATTAGTGTGCACATTTCTGAATGAGAAACTAGTTGCTCCGCTGATCTCAATAATGTAGTAGAAAAAAAAAATGACTTCAGGTCTCTATAATGCCTAAATGCATTCTATTTAAACTCAAGGTACTATTTCATTTTATATACTAAAGAATACATGCCTTTAAGTGGTACCACTTGAGCATAAATTAACCTCTCACTGTATCCTTTAGACATACTAAAACCAAAGATTTAACTGGACTATATTCCATTATACACTGCAAAACTCAAATATTAGCATTGCTAAAATAATCACCTGTGCTTGCTGGTGGATATGGTGATAAAATTGGGTTGCATTTCACTTACTCGAAGGTTTTTAAACAAAATTAACATTTCAAAATTTGATATTACCAGCACTAAACCTGTTACTGCCTGAGCAATAAAATGCCACATAATCTACTGCTAGGAAATGAGATCAGTTAAATGACTTGGATGCCTGATCATTGCAATAGAGGTACTTCAGAAGGAATTCCACCAGTCTCTCTAGTTCTTAGCTTGCCAGGCAGCACTGTTTAACATATGGCCCCATAACTACAGCCCAAACTGTAAAGTCTTTTGTGTTTATTA